GCCCAGGCGGCGTCTCGGCTTCGAAACCCAGCTCGGGCTTGGAGGCAGGCGTCAGCGCTTCCCCCGGCCCCTGCTCTGCTGCACGTTGCGCTGGGGGTCTCTCTAATTTATCGGACGTTTCCCACGGCTGCAAACACTACTTGTTTCGACGCATCAGAAGCGATTAAAATAAAGGTGCTCACTTACCGTATCTCACTGGTACGGCCGGCTATGTAGGACAAACCAGCCCAACTTAGGTACTAGATCGCTACGAGCAGCAAAGAAAAGGTGGGGGGGAGATGTTCCTGCACCCACGCTTTAGCTAGCTCATCCCAGTGTAGTTAAATCAGACAAGTGCACTGATTTAGACCAGCGGAGGCACTTCTAAGCTCATCGCCCCCGTCCGCATTAACCAGCCGGCCGGCCCCCCGCCAGGGCTGCCGCCGACCTTGCGGGCAAGGCGCTCAGGTCCCCAGGCTGCCTGCAGGCCCTCGTCTTCGATCCCCGAGCAGCTTTTGTTGCGGTCGCACATGGTGCCGATATCCGCCACTCCCAGCGTGTCGCAGCTCTGGTGCCCGCAGAAGTCCTGTCGGAGAGCGGCGCCAACGCGGGCTGAAGCCGGGCCGGGCGGTCACAGCCTCTCATTTCCTAACTTGCCCCTGCTTTCTGGCCTTTCTGAATCTCGCTGCTGTGCTCCATCCCGGTCTCGTCCCCTCCCTGACCTTAACGCTGCTGTTACTGGGACCAGACAGAAAATATTTCCCGGGGGCAGAAGGACGTTGGAGTCCCGCCAGGTCGCCCGCTCCGCTGCGCAAATCACTGCCTCTCACTGTGCCCCAGCAATAACCCCCCCCATCTGCCTACGCCACCTGCGAGCGCCATCCTTCACTCAACGGGGACCCGCTCCTCTTCCTCCCTACGGAGGAAGACCAGGCAGGGGACAGCTGTGATGCCCCTCTGCCCCCCACCCCCTGCCCACAGGGCTTCGGACCTGTCTCGTCAGCAGGATGGCGGTGTCGTAGTGCTCGGGGTGCCGGTCGCTCGGAGGGTTGAACTTCTGCTGCCAGTTGCAGAAGTTGCGCAGGGTGAGGCCACCGTTATCGGACACCTCCGGCCCCGCCGCCTCGTCCTCCACGATCAGCACCTTCACCACCACCAAGTTGACGGCGTTCTTCAGGCTGGGGTGCTTGTAGATGCGAGCGGCCATGGACATCAGCGTCAGGACGTGATTCTGGAAGGAGAGAGAGGGCCGGGCAACGCGGGAAAGCCACCTTGCTCCGCGCGCCCAGGGCCATGCTCGCCTCCGGTACATCCACGCGGACGGGTATCTGGCCACCCGCAGAGCAAGGACATGTGCGGGGTCCAGACGGGGAGACCCGGAGATCGCTTCCCACGACAGATGCTCCAGCAACGTTTAGGCTGACGGAAACACCTTATCAGAGCATCGAAATTCCTTCTCGGCTTGGCCCCGGCGCACGGACTCGGCGTCACGGGAAAGAAATGCAGTTATTACACAACCGGTACCGGGGATGGGAGAGCGGCTTCTCCCCTCCCGGACAAATTGCACTTTGCGGCCTCGCTCGAGCGCAAGAGATACAGACCGTGTTCCCGCAAGCGTGACTGCTGTTGCGCCCTACCGCCAGCATCGCTCCCACTCCTGCGCTTGGGGCGGAGGGAGAAGCCCTGCTCAGGTGAACTACAAAGCAAACGGGCTTTTGCAAGGAGGAAACTCTTTGTCCAGGTCTGCTCCAGGATCTGCTCGTGGAGGAGACCACACAGCCTCTAACCGGGCAGCCGCCTGGTGCTCACGAGACCACCAGCAGCAAACAGCGCACGCGGCGAGGAGGGCTAGCAAGGATTAAAAAAACAACATCAGAGCCCAGGGAACTGAAGTGATTACTTTTAGCTCGGCAGCATTGAAGGACGTCACTTTCTGATAAAGATTCTTGCAAAATCTCTACTTACGTTCTTCTCCACGGGACCCACTCGGAAGGTGAAGTCTGCAGAGAGCCCCAAACCGTTGCTGTGGGGTTTTTCCCCCCCTCTCTCTCCCGCAAAGGGAGAGGAATTGCGCGGACAGACGCTAACTATTATTGTGGTATGCACACAGTGATTTAATATCGCAGGGCTGGTCCTCAGGATCCACCCGGGGCCGAAGGACGCACCCGGCACCCGGAGCGACCGGCCCTCCTCTGCACCCGCTCCCCGAGCTCGCGGCCGTGGGAAAACCCACGCGCAGATTGATGGCTGGGCAGCTGCTTTGCTCGACCGGACTGCAGGTTCGCTCGCTGGGCTTGTTTGTTGCCGGGATTTTTTTTTTTCTTTTTAATTATTATTATTATTTTTTCCCTTTCTCCCGAGAAGCCAGCGTTTCCGCAGGGGGAAAACAAGCGCCGAGATTTTCTGCAGCGCAAACAGATGGGAGGAAGAAAACACGGGGTCATAGGCGAGGGCTGCCCAGCTTGAAAAACAACTGGCGAAAAAACACATCTCGGCCTGCCTCTCTTTTCCCCGAAGCGATGCCTCCCCCGGCCGCCTCCCGCCTTTTCCCCTCCTGGTTGCACGTTTGGGGCTGGCTCGGGCTTCCTTGCAAAGGAAGCGAGGGCACCCGCTGCGGGGCAGGGGAAACTGAGGCAGGGGAGGGCGGGATTGCAACCTCATCAACCTCCCTGGAAAAGCCGCAGCAGCCGGGGCAGGAACCCCAGCTGAACGGGACCGATCCGAGTTTGCTGCGGTCTTCAGTCATCTCCTCCGAGCGCCAGGCCTTGCAGTCCGGGATTACCCGCTCCTCGTTTCCACGGCCCAGGGGAAAGGGAAGGCGGGATCCTAGCCGCCGCCTTTGCAGAGGGAGGGTTGCAAACTGATTTATCCAAAGACCGGAGAGATCCCTAACGAAAGGGGGCTGTCGCGGGAATCCGGCTCCGCCGCCAGCTGGCGGAGGATGCTCCGGCCACTTTTTATACCCGCCCGTTGCTTTAGGTGTCTTGTCGAATATACCCTAAGCGTTTTGGAGGACATCTTCAAATGCAGCTTGGACTGCAGGCGCTCAGCCCAAACGCACATGCTTCGGGACATCACAAGAATTAACATTGCCTCCTGCCTCGGTTTCCCACATGCAAGAAACCCACTCGGTCGCGTTAGGGATGCTCACCCCGCTTTCTAACGTATTTTGGGGTCCTTTGCAGGAGAACTGCAAAGAATAACTCTCGCGTGTCCGTCTCGGTGGGTTCGCGCCCACCACGACACGAGGGGGCACTTGGTCACCACCGCAGATCGCGTCCCGCAAAGCCCTTCACGACCTCCTGGTGCTCACAGCTATCACTGCCCAGCGCTGCCCTGCCAATGCCCCCAAACGCCGTCTCCCGAAATCAGCCCAGAAGAACAACAACCCGCCTACCGCCAAGATTTCCGGCCCGCTTCCGCTTTCCCTTCCCTCGCTGACTCAATAATTTCTCGTTTACGTGAGTATTAATGGAAGCAGATTTAAGCTCTTGTTACCTCAATGAGGTTATCAGCTGCGCTGTAATGGCTCAATCCACGGCCTGGATCGATTAAAAATAAATCACTGATAGAATTTCCCTAATAACAGCGTAAAATTGATTATAACTGGCGATGCTCAAGCGCATCGCACGGCGATTCTCTTTTGCTTGATCTGTTACAGCTTATGCAAGACATTAACTTGGACTATAAACAAGGCTCGCGACCTTTAATAAATATCTGGTAATTAAAGCGTGGTCACAGGAGGAGAAACCACTATATAAATACGGCTTCTTCTGACTCAACATTTCTGCTCCCTGTGCATCTCCCCGGCAGATCTGCAGCTCTCGCCAACGGAAGCAAGCCACCACCGTTTCTTGGCCCACCAAACTTCTGTGCTCAGGGGAAAGCCGGAAGGCTATTTGGTCTCCGGAGCTTCCTGCACCTGCGGTTCTGCCTGTTCTGCTGAGCATAAAAGAAGCAGAACTAGAGCAGGTGTTTTTTTTTTTTACTGCTGTGCTTAGAAAAAAAAAAAAAAACCCGGCCAGCGTTGAAGGTGCCATGAGAGCTGGTGGAGATTTTCGCCCGAGCCCTTACGTATGCCATGGCTCTGTCCACCCAGGGAGCTCCCTAAGGCTTCCTCCTGCCCCTTCCCATCGAGAAATACCCTGAGAGGTGACACGCAAATATTTCTCTTTGGGACAAAGAGATGTCAGTAAGAGGGGAAATGAGTGAGTGAGACCGGAAACTCTCTGAAAATTAAGGGGGGAGCCCTCTGCTACCTGATGCACGGCTTGCCAAGGAGCCCGCTCGTCCCAGGGGGGGTCCCCACCGCCGCAGCGAGGGCCTGGGTGTCCCTGCACCGCGCTCGGC